CTGCCTGCTCCTTCCCGGGGAGGGCCAGCCACCGCAGCTCCTCCTTTTGGAGTCCGGGCCCGGCTCTCCCCTCAGCTCCCACCCCCCTCTCGCCGTGCGTTCTTGGCAAAGTCGCTCCCCCTTTCTGAGCTCAGCCTCCACCTCCCTCAATCAAGGGGGCAGAAAGGGTGGGGTGGGGCGGGGGTGTTCGTTGTCACTCTGCGCGGAAGGACAGAAGCCGCTAGGGGTTCGGTAAGGAAACCCCGCACTCGGGCACCTGTGACGGGCCAGGCCCCTCAGGGCTCCCCCTGCCGGACCGGGTCGGCCGGAAACGGCCCTTCTCAGCTCAGCGCGGGGTAATCGGGGCTGCTTCCGGAGGAAGAAGTGGAGGCTGGTCTCGGGTGATGTCACCAGGCGGGGAGTCGGACACCGCAGGTAAAGGCTGCGGTCAGGACGGCCAGGCCAGCCGACACCCAGGACGGAGCACCCCGCCCCGCGGAGAGACGGGGAGAGACTCGGCGTGCTGCACCTCGTTTTTCTCTGGAGGCGTCTGCCAGGGCGTAAGTGCTTGGATCTCGAGCCTGAGAGCCGAGCCAAAAACAGCCGCCGCGAGGCTCCGGGACCAGACGGAGCTGTTGGCCACCGCCCAGGGTGGCAGGGAGATAAGGAATCGGAGGTTGCAGCGGGCACAGAACAGGCGCCTCCGGAGGCCTCCCAGCCAGGCTCCGAGAAGGCTGTAACCGATCGGTGGGCACAACCCCGAAATGCCCGGCCATCCCAAGGGACTGAGGAGCCGGCCCCCTCACCCTGACCACCAAGGGGACCCAGGGCACGTGCCCCTGCCCTCCCTGCCTGCCAGGCGGAGACAGCTTCCTCCCGGAACAAGGACTGTCGCAGCCAGAGCCTCTGCGTGTTTGCCCTACACCGTGTCCGCACCTGCCACACATGTACCACGCGTGTACCACGCATTACCACACATGTACCACACATGTACCGCGCATGTACCAGGCCAAGGCCGGAACCACACGGCCAAAGGGAGAAAATGGACGGCAGAAACAGATACACACGTTATCCCGATGTCGCAGGCACAGACGCCAGCTGTAAAATGCCCGTGGCCATTACTGCAGGGAGATGGATGACAGGATGGGGGATTTCACCAGAAACCACCACGTAGATAGAAAGTGCTCCGGTGGAAATGCCAGAACTGGAAACTACGAGAACCGGCAGGGATGGGATAGATGACTCCAGCACACCGGACACAGCAGAAAGAGGCACCCGGCAGGATCCACCTGAAGAGGCTGGACAGACAACGGGTTTCCAACCCAAAAAGAAACGTCCAGAAAACGGGGGACAACGAGAGCAGATCTTGGTGGAGCAGGAGGACTTGCCGTGGCCGCATAGAGACCCAGGAGGAGGCGGAGGTGTGACTCCGAGCGTGGGCTCGGCCTCGCTTCCCTGCGTGACCGTGAACAAGCCACCTGCCGTTGCTGGGTCTCCGTTTCCCATTTCAGGGAAATGGGCGTGAGCTGATGTGATGACAGGGCGGGCAGCGGCGACTGCTCACGTCACCGCCCGTCGGCAGCGTTGGCTCAGTCATCTCACCGGCACCCGTAGTTCAGGGGGCTCCACGCGGAGCTGGGAGCGTGGCCCGGCCTCATGACAGCGGCTGCCCAGTCCAGCAGGCGGCTGCTCCGCATTCAAAAGCCCACACTGTCCATTCCGTGGAGTTTCCAAGTATCTGAAACAATTCTCTTAAAAATAAAACAAAACACAGACACACACACACACACACACACACACACACACACACACACTGAGTGGCCAGATTATGATGATTTCTGAATGTAGGCCCAGTGCATGAATTCGGGATGGGTGGGTCCGGCCAGCCTGGCCAGGAGTAGGGGACAGGGTGGTTGGCCGGCCTGCCTGCCGGTCCAGCTCCTGGTCGAGGGGACAATTTGCATATTAGCTTGTTATTATATAGGATATACACTGAGTGGCCCGATTATTATGCGTTCAGAGACCATCATCATCTGGCCACTCCGTGTGTGTATATATATTTATTGATTTCAGAAAGAGGCAGGGGGAGGGAGAGAGAGAGAGAAACACCAATGATGAGAGAGGATCATGGATCCACTGCCTCCTGCTCGCCTCCCACTGGGGATGGAGCCTGCAACCTGGGCATGCGCCCTGACCGGGAATCGAACCATGACCGCCTGGTTCCGGGGTGGACGTTCAACCACGGAGCCACGCCTGTTGCACAGGTCATTCGTGGCAGGTCATTGCCGCCCTCTCTCTATTGCCATTGATCCGCTGCTGCAGACAGGACAGGGAGAGCGGGTGTCCTCCCTCCACCCCCTTTGTTAGCTGAGGCGTGGCGCACTTGGCAGCAGAGAGCTTGGCCCGTGAGTCTTGGCCCGGGTTCTGTGCCAGGGAGCCAGGGCTGGCGCTCCCCGTGTGTGCGGGCTGCCCCTTAACAGAGAACAGGGAAGTCATGCTCGCCTCCTTCCTTTCCCGAGCCGGGGCGGGGCGGGTGTGTTCCTGCTTTTCCACCATAATTCTTTATAGGGCGATTGAAAGCCCCATTGTTACCAGCTCCCACGCCTCTGCTGGGGGTGGGAGCCCATGGGCACCCCGGCCGGGAGGTGGTGCCACTGGGTCGTGCTGGACGGAGGGGGGAGGGTGTCCCCGTGTCCCTCTAAGTCACTCCCTCCCCTCCTCCCCCCGTTCTGCAGCTCAGCCTCACTCACCCGCCAGCCCCTTCCACCCCAGTGCCCGCTGCGGGCATCTGGATCCCACAGGCAGCCAGGAGGTGGCGAGGAACTGGCCCGTCTTCCCATCCCAGGCCCATCCCTCTGTGTGGCTCACAGGCATCTGTGTACGTGAATGTGTCTCGGGCCTGGTGTTGGGACACAGGGCCCCGCCCATCACCACAGCCAACACAGGGAGACCCTGTCCCTCCCTGCTCAGCTCAGAACCTGCAGTGGGCTCCGTCCCGCAGGGAGAGCCTGGTCTCAGGAACGGCTTCCCTCCCGCAAATATGTACCTGCTCCCCCTCCTCTTTACCGTCCCCCTTCCCCCACTGGCCAGGCCCACCAGCCTCCTTCCTCCCACGGCGCTGGGCCTCCCAGGTGCTCCGGGAGCTCCCACCTTAGAGTCATCTCTGCTGGATCTCGGCCTCCTAGCCCGAGGCCCGGCCCCCCGCGGGGCCCAGCACCTGCGCTGTGAGTGGCTGCGTGACTGACAGCTCCGAGAGTGAGCAGCATCTCTCTTCTCAGCCCCTTTTCCGGTTCAAGGAATGGCCCAGAGAGGTCGGGTGGCTTCTTCCAGCCACACAGCACCCCCGTGGTACAGCCCGGTGGGGCCGGGCATCCTCGGATGTAGTCCGCGCTTTCTGGCTCAGAAAAACCTGTGAAGTGCCAGCGCTGGCCTTTCCTCATCCACGCCTGCCTTCCTTGTTGCCACCGGTGTGCCGGGGGTCGGGGCTACGGAGCATGAGGCTGAGTTTCTGTCTTCTCGGAGCCGGCCGGGAGGAGGGAGGCAGGTGTGGAAACAGAGCAGGCCACAAGGAGCCTCTGCGGACGCCAGGAGTGGGCAGGCCTCTCTCCCCCGGAGTCAGCGCCAGCTCAGGCCTGAAGAATGAGCAAGACCCGAGCCGGGTGGGTGGCTGTTCTGGACAGTGGGGCCAGCGAGGCCAGGAGCCCGGAGGCAGGAGCATGTGTGATCTGAGGCGCCCCGTTGTGTTGCTTCAAGTTGCAAATAATCTGCTTTACACAATAAAGGAGACTTATTGTCTCATGTGCCTGAAAGGTCAGAGCGTGGGGGCAGTGGGCTGCAGGTGTGGCTCCGTCAGGGACTCAGTGCCCCCTGCTGGTCCTGCCTGGCCGCCCACCCTGCGAGGATCCCCCACAATGGCCAGCAGGACCCCGGCTTCCTTGTGCCAGGCCCAGGCAGACCAGAGCAAAGGCGCGTGCCTTCCCTGCCTGCAAAAGTCGGGAGTTTCCCTGATGGGATGAAATTAGGACGATTTCTTATCAAGTCCTATGGAAAGAGGGGTGGGGACGCCCCCTGCTGGCCAGGGGAAAGCAGCGCGAGCCGCTCTTGGAATGTTAATCTGGCTCAAGTGGACAAGCTGCTGTGTGTTTTGTTTTTGTTTTTTAAAATATATCTTTATTGATTTCCAAGGGGAAGGGCTTGGGAGAGAATAGAATCATCAGCGATGAGAGAGAATCATTGATCGGCTGCCTCCTGCACGCCCCCCACTGCGGTCCGAGCCCGCAACCCCGGGCAGGTACCCTGACAGGGAATTGAACCTGGGACCCTGCAGGCCCCAGGCTGATGCTCTAACCACAGCCACACCAGCCAGGGTGTCGTAACAGGTAATAGAACCTCATCCTGTGTTGCTTCCTCCTTCTCTGTGCAGATGACAGACAGCCCTCGGTGCCTTCACCACGCCCACGGCCTGCGGCCACAACCCTGGTGGCTGTGGGGTCAGACTGAGCTCTGACGGCATCAGCACACACGGCACACACAGCCTTCCCGGACGGACGGACGGACGGAGGACGGCGGCAAGGCGGCTCCTGGCCCCGCACCGTGACCTTGCTCCCAGGCCCTCCCCCGGCGGGACTGGCCCGTCCCAGAGCCACTGCCCCTCCGCCCCTCTGGCTGGGAAAGGCGATCTTGGGTCTCACGTCGGATTATCGCTCCGGGAAGAGACAGGACCGGCTGGTCGGGGATTGCTGATGCGGCGGGATCCTCTATCTTCTGCAAGAGACAGACTCGCTGCCAGAAGAGGCACCCGCCCCCTGAGTGACCCCTTGGCCTCCGAGGGTCACAGGGTGATGTCCGGTGCCCGAGGGTGACTGGTGACCATCGCCGGGCGGAAGTGAGGTTGACCCTAGCGAGCCTCGAGGGCCCCCCGCCCCCCGCCCGCCTTGGACACCCACCCACGCCTCGCCTTCTCTGGGATTTTCCTTCCACGTCCCTCCGAGGCGAGGAGCCCCGTGGGGGAGGCAGCAGCCATGGTGACCCTGAGGAGGCGGACCCTCAAGGTGCTCACCCTCCTCGTCCTCTTCGCCTTCCTCACCTCCTTCCTCCTGAGCTACTCGCACACGGTGGCCACCACGGCCTGGCTGCCCCGGCAGCTGGTCCTGGAGCTTTCCGACGGCTTCCGGCGGCTGGTGGCCTTCCCGCGCCGGCCCTGCACCTGCGCCCGCTGCGTCAGCCAGCGGCGGGTCTCCGCCTGGTTCGACCAGCGGTTCAACCGGTCCATGCAGCCGCTGCTGACCGCGCAGAACGCGTTCCTGTACGAAGACACCTACCCGTGGTGGCTGGTGAGTGCGCCGGCCGGGGGGGGGGGGGTCCCCGGCACCTGAGGACACGCCTGGGGCCCTGCCAGGTGCTCTGCAGGAGTTGCCATGTTGGCCATTCATTCACTCACTCACTCACTCACGCAAAAAACGATTGCCCTGGCCGGTTTGGCTCAGTGGATAGAGCGTCGGCATGTGGACTGAAGGGTCCCAGGTTTGAGTCCGGTCAAGGGCGTGTGGCTGGGTTGCAGGCTCAATCCCCGGTCTTGGCAGAGAGGCCACCAATCAATGTGCCTCTCTCACATCGATGTTCCTCTCTTGTCTCTCCCCCTTCTTTCCACTCTCTCTAAAAAGCACGGGAAAATCCTCAGGTGGGGATTAACACACACGCACACGCACACGCACACGCACACACGCACACACACACCACCTGCTTGTTGAGGGTGTGCTATGTAGATAAACGAGAACAGAGGGTTCTGTGTGGACACTGGTCCTGGACACTAGGAAGTGTTGGGCGCACAGGGGCCCCTCCCGGGGGGATCTCGGAGGGAGTCCCTGCAGGTGAGCTTGGCTGCGGCCACTCCCCCAGGGGTTTCAGGGAGTGAGCCCCACGCCGGCAGCGGCAGCCCCGTGGCCGGGGAGCCGGTCAGACGGCAGGATGTGGGCCCAGCCCTGCCTGGCCGGGCCAGGACGAGCACGGTCGCCAGGTCCCGGGTTCCCCCTGATGGTGAGGCATTAATACTCCTCCGGGCCATCTATCCGGGCACAGCTCAGAGGCGTTACACGCACCCCGTGTCACGTGACCATCACCCCTCCTGCACCCAGCACTTTCCCACATCCCCCCGACGCGCTGTGCCTAACCCCCTTCCCCGGCCCAGCCCCCTAGGCCCTGGCAGCCCGTTCCCCTCTCTGCCCTGAGTTTCACTCCTCGGACCCTCACGTAGCGGGAGGCACCGCGGTGTTTGTCCTCTGTCTCGCATCTTTTCGGGGTCTGTTCGCTCCTGCTGTAGGTGTGTCCACATGTCCTCCTCCTGTGGCGGAGCGATATTCCATTGTGTGCATGCTCTGCCTTTTATTTTATTTTATTTTTTTTAAAGTGTGTTTTTATTGGTTTCAGAGAGGAAGGGAGAGGGAGAGAGGGGGAGAGAGAGAGAAACACCAATGATAGAGAATCATCGATGGGCTGCCTTCTGCACGCCCCGCACTGGGGATCCAGCCTGCAACCCGGGCAAGGAGTCGAACCATGACTTCCTGGTTCATCGGCTGACACTCAACCACTGAGCCACATGGCCGGGCCGCGTGCTCTACCTTTCCAAATCTATCACCTGTCACGGGACATGGGGCAGAGCCCGCCCCGGCCCCTGCTCCGGCCCCCTCCCCGCCCCGCCCCGCCCCGCCCCCCGTCCCACGTCCCCCCGGAGGCCGTGCGGCTGCCCACCTGTCTCTGTCTCGGCCGCAGAGGCTGCAGGGGGAGAAGCAGCCCCAGGACCTGAACGCCACCTTCCGGGAGCTGTTCCGGGTGGTGCCGGGCAGCGTGGACCCGCTGCTGGAGAAGAAGGAGGCGGGCTGCCGGCGCTGCGCCGTCGTGGGCAACTCCGGCAACCTGCGGGCGTCCTGGTACGGCCCGCACATCGACAGCCACGACTTCGTGCTCAGGTGAGCGCCGGCCTCGCCCGGGCCCTGGGCGCCCCTGGCTGGGCACAGACCTACCGGGGCCGCGGTGTCCCCATCTGCCCTGCTGGGGGAGACACACACAGGGCCTCTCTGGACGCAGTGGGCGCGAGCTTGGCGCCGAGAGCCTGGAGGGATGGCCAGGTTCACTCACAGACTCCTCTGGTCTGTACCATCCATCCCGTTTTGCGACCTGCATGCTGCTCCAGTAAAATCTGTTTCCCTGTCACCACGCGGGCGGGGGTTCCAGGAAGATGCCCCGTGCCTCTCTGGGCTCCTTGTTACCTCCGGTCCCGCAGCCCAGAGCGAGAAACAGCAGCAGCGAGGGGGTGGGGGAAGGGGCCGGTGAGCGCCAGGTGCCTTCTAGAATCTTCCGTCCCCGTGATCTCTGGGTTTACATCCTTAAGACCCGTGGTCTGGAAACCGCGGCTCGTGAGCCACATGCGGCTCTTTGGTCCCTTGAGTGCGGCTCTTCCACAAAACACCTGGGCGAGCCTATGTTGAAGAAGTGGCGTGGGGAGAAGTTGGGTTTAAAAAATTGGGTTCTCCAAAGAAATTTCAGTCGCCGTCCTGTTGGTATTGGGCTCTGTTGACTGATGAGTTTGCCGACCAGAGCTTCAGACCACTCAGCTGGCCTTCCGGAGCCTCCACGTACGCCTGGTCCAGTGGGGCCGTCCGTGGTGAGGGGACAGTCAGGCTCAGGGTCAGGCAGACCCGAGTCCGGGCTGCCGGGTGGCTCTGTGTCCACCCTCTGTGCTCAGTTTCTTTGGCCGTAAAATCCCCGCCGGCCAGGCCGTCCCTGCGGTTTCACCAGGTGGCCCCTCCGCCGCGGAGGCCCCGGCTCAGACTCCTGGAGCCCGTAGGCCCCCGAGCCGCGTGGCCTGCTCGCTGTGCCCCCTGCACAGACGAGGCGGCCGCGGAGTTAGCAGCGGCCCTGGGACCTGGGACCATGTGAGCCAGGCGTGTGCGTCTCCCCCTCTCCCGCAGGATGAACAAGGCCCCCACCGCCGGGTTCGAGGCCGACGTGGGGAGCAAGACCACCCACCACTTCATGTACCCCGAGAGCTTCCGGGAGCTGGCGGACAACGTCAGCATGGTGCTGGTCCCCTTCAAGACGCTGGACCTGCAGTGGGTGGTCAGCGCCACCACCACGGGCACCATCTCCCAGTAGGTCCCCCCGGGGCGCCGAGCGGAGGGCGGAGGGCGGAGGGCGCTGGGCGGAGGAGGGCCAGGCAGCTGCCCTTTGCCCTGCGGTGCCTCCTGGCTGCCATCCGTGCTGTTCCCGGCACCACGGTCCGGCTCCTGCTGTTCTCCTCCATGTGTCCCTCCAGGCGCTTCCCCCTGGGATGCACCCGCCGCCCAGCCCACAGGCCACGTCCGCCTTCCCGCTCCCTGGCCCCGCACCTCCCATCCCTCTGACACCCCGGACTTCTGCCTGTTCCTCCCCTTGACCCCCAAGCCGGCCACACGCTGTGCTGCCCCCAAACCCCGCAACTCCTGGGGACAGGGCCGCTGGGAAGGGCTCGGTGCATCTTAGCTCCGGCCCCTCCCTCTGTGCTCCTCCTGACAGCCGTCTGCTGAACTAAGTGGGGCTGGTGGGCCGGCGCAGGTGGAGGATGGGTGCCGAGCCTGTCGGCTGGGGCCTGGGTCGTCCTTCGTGAGCGCACGTCTTCCTGACCACACGCATGGGCATGTGGCGTCTAACCACATGGTCACAGTTGTGGGGTTCATGACCCCCTCCCGCCAGGGAGGGCGCGAGGCTTGGCCGTAGCTTGCTGGAGGCGGGCCTCTGCCCGAGCCAGGCTCGCCCCCGGGCCCCCTTCCCAAGTCCCTGTTGTTCTGAAGAGAGGTGGTTGCCTCGTCCAGGGGCCATGCCCGTGGGAGGCCCATGTGGACGGTGCAGGATGGGGGGGCGGTGGTGCTGTGCTCCCAGGAGAAAGGAGGGTGGGCGGGCGGGAGAGAGGCAGGCACTGGGGCAGGGAATCCCACCGGGTCCTGGGTGCCGGAGCATAAGCTGCGCAGGAGTCAGAGCCAGACTGAGCCCCCAAGATGCAGGCCCTGACCCTCCGATGAAAGGCAGGCAGTGTGGTCGTCTCAGCCAGCAACCCTGACATGAGGGTGGGGCTGGGTGCTCTGGCCTCCATGGCTCCCTAGGCTGTGTGTGTGTGTGTGGGGGGGGGGGGAGTGGAGGGAGGGGACTTGGAGCAGGTCCCCTTAACCTTTCTGGGAGAAGGCCCATACATAGCAGAAGGCCCTGGAATGAGCCGAGATCGCCCTCTGGTGTCTGTAATGGGCCACTGCATGGCTGTGGCAGGGGCCAGTGGCTGGTGGGGGTGGGGGGCAGGCTGTGTTATGGCGGGGGGGGGGGGGGGGGGGCAGGCAGGAGGTGCTGAGGCGGTAGGCTGTGGGGGGGCTGTGGGGGGCTGTGGCTGGGGGAGGAGGATGTGGGGGGGAGGCTGTGCTGTGGCAGGGGTCTGTGGCAGGGCAGGTGTCTGCCTACTCAGCCTGGCCCTGCTTCCCTCTCAGTCCCTCCTCCCCAGCTGCCCGCAGCAGCCCAGCCCTCCCACACTGACCCTCTGCTCTTGCCCCCCAGCACCTACATCCCTGTCCCTGCGAAGATCAAAGTGAAGAAGGAGCAGGTGAGTGGTGCTCCGCTCCCCCTGAGATGGTCTGCCCAGTGGGACGTGGTGGGGAGGGCGCCCTCCCCGCTACCAGCATCTGGCCTCATAGCTACTGGTCAGACGGTCAGACGGTCTCTTAGCCTTTTATATCTATAGGTATTTTTACGGATTTCAGAGAGAGAGGGAGAGAGGGAGAGAGAGAGAAATATCAGTGATGAGAGAGAATCGCCGGTCGGCTGCCTCCTGCGCACCCCACACTGGCGGTCGAGGCCAGAGCCCAGGCAAGTGCCCTGACTGGGAATTGAACCTGACCTCCTGGTTCATAGGTTGACGCTCAACCACGGCGCCGTGCCGGCCAGACCTGCATGCTCTTATTTAAATGAGGAGATGGGGGTCAGAGAGGTCAGGCAACGTGCCCGGGACCCACAGCTGGTTTGGGGTCACACAGAGCTGGGGTCCTCAGGGAGGCAGTGGCAAACCACTAGGCTGCGAGCGGAAGGGATCATCCGCGGCGAGCACAGGGCCCCCTCCAGAGCGGGGAGGTGTTGCATTAGGCTTCCTGCACACGCCTACCCTCTGCTGCCGGCAAGTCCCCTCAAAGCTGCCATGAGTAGCGGCACCAAGGCCTTGCCTGGTACCAGGACGCCTCCGCTCGGCCACCGCTGGCTGTGTGGCCCTGAGGGCGTTGCTAAGGCTCCCGGAGCCTCGGTTTCCTCCTCTGCAGCAGGAGAAGGGGGAAGCTAGCACAGTGGATCCTTTTAGGGCCTGGGGACCCTTTGGGCCCAGACCAGGTGGGTGGTGGCTCGTGCATGAGTTTTCCTGCAGCCGCATCCTCTCGCTCAGCCCGGCCTCGTGTGGCTGAGACATCCTCTGCTCAGCGAGCCTTCTCCCCCTCGCCTCTCCCCACCCCCGGGCTTCCCTGCCTCCCTGGCCCCGAGTTCTTTCCCAGCATCTTCTGGCGCTTCACAGGGAGGCTCCTGCCTGCCTTTCCCGCTAGCATGCAGCCCCCTGAGTGCTGGGGCCTTATTCCCGTCGTGTGTCCCCGTGGCCACAGCGTGTGGCCCCGGGAGGCGGTGTGTCTGCCCCCGGCCGTCTGTCTGAGGGCTGTGTGCTCCCTGCAGATCCTCGTCTACCACCCGGCCTTCATCAAGTACGTCTTCGACAGCTGGCTGCAGGGCCACGGCCGCTACCCGTCCACCGGCATCCTCTCCGTCATCTTCTCCCTGCACGTCTGCGACGAGGTGTGTCCCTCCCCGGGCCCCGCCGGCCCAGCCGGGCACCAGGGCCCCTTAGTCGCTGTTCCCGAGAGGCCATGGGAGCGTCTGTGTTACCGCTGACCTTGATCCCAGCCCCAGCCCCTGTGAGAGCATCTGTGGTCCGGCTGACCTTGATCCTGACCCCAGCTCCCGGGGCCTGGCAGGCCTCTCGTGCTTTAAGGAGGAGCCGTGGTTTCCAAGCACCTTCCCAGGAGCACGTTCTGCTCATTCTGTGTGAGCTCCCTAGGCTCCCAGGACCAATGGGGGGAAGCGCCAATTTCGGGGGCAAAACAAAGGAGCCGTTAGCAGGGGAGACCTGCGGCTCCCACCTCAGAGCTAGAGCCCAGCTCTCAGGCCACTCTGCCCATGCCCGCCAGCATCTCTGAGCGTGGGAACCAGCCCCCAGGGCTCCCACTGCCCCCAGAACTTTCGGGGAGCTTGGGAAGTGTGTTCCCCTCCTGGGCCTCCTTGGACAGCCACCAGGGGGCGCCAGGTTTCCGGCGGTGATGTAGGCCAGGGGTGGGGAATGTCCGGCCCCGAGGCCATATGAGGCCCAAGAAATCATGGAATCTGGCCCTGCCAAGGCATTAGTGGCGAGTTAATGAGATGTTTGACCAAACAGAGAGGACTCATTTTTAAAAAAATATTTTATTGATTTTTTACAGAGAGGAAGGGATAGAGAGTCAGAAACGTTGATGAGAGAGAAACAGATCAGCTGCCTCCTGCACACCCCCTACTGGGGATATGCCTGTAACCAAGCTACATGCCTTTGACCAGAATCGAACCCGGGACCTTTCAGTCCCCAGGGCAACGCTCTATCCACTGAGCCAAACCGGTTTCGGCCGGGCTAATTTTTAAGTTGATGATTTTGTATGGCCCACAAATGACGTTATAAACATCCAAAGGCCCTCGGCAGGGAAAAGGTTCCCACCCTGTCGGTCCAAGCTGTTCCCTGCCTCCGGGGCAGAGGAGCAGGAGGGACCCAGGAGGAGGACTCGGTAAACATCAGCCACGTAAGAACGGCCCCGACCGCTGGCCAGGGCAGGGGCCTGGCAGATGGAGCTCAGCCTGAGGGGAGAAAGGACCCCGGCCTCCCCGTGGATGCCACTCTTGGCCCCATTTTCCAGATGAGGAGAGTGAGGCCCAGAGAAGGGACGCAGCATTGGCAGGGTCCTCCAGGGGGGTGGCAGGGCTGGGGTGCTCCTCTTCCCCAGCTCCTCGGTCCTTGGAGAGGAGGTGGGACTGCCCAGAGGCGAGACCCCGCCCCCTCAGGACCACCCGGTGCAGTCCCCTCCCAGGAGCCTTCCGACGTGAACTTGAACTTGACTTTTACTCATCCCCACACCCCCAGGAGTCCCGGGAGGCTAGAGAGGGGTCCCTGCGCTCCCCGGAAAGGGGTGTGCAGGTGTGGGGTGCCTGCCGGCTTCCTCTCCTACCGGCTCTGCCCACCGCCCGGCAGCCCGGCCGCCCGGCCTGACCTCTGCTTGGCCCGCAGGTGGACCTGTACGGCTTCGGGGCGGACAGCAGGGGGAACTGGCACCATTACTGGGAGAACAACCCGTCGGCGGGCGCCTTCCGCAAGACCGGGGTGCACGACGGGGACTTTGAGTCCAACGTGACCAGCGCCCTGGCGTCCATCCACAAAGTCCGGATCTTCAAGGGGAGATGACGCCGCGAAGGGGCGCGGACCACGGCCACACCAGTGCAGCCTCTCAGGACGGCCCCCGCTCCTCGCCGCCGGGGCTGTCCCTCCCGCCCCGGGGGCCCCCGGGGCCAGCCTCTCACACCCCGACATTGGACAGCATCTGCTTGGCCATGTCACGGGGCCGCAGGGCAAGTCTGAGAGCCGGCGGGGCCCTCAGGGCTCTCCCCGCGCCCGGAAAAGGTGGAGATCGGGGGAAGTCTGTCCTCCGGATTCGGCTGCAGAAGACGGGTTGGGGTCGGGGGACAGAGACTGAAGGCCCCCCCGTTTTAAAAGAAAGGACATTCTCGGGCAGAGACTCCTTTGCTGGGGCGCCCAGGGCTGACGCCCACACTATGATTCTCGCCGATGTCTCCGAGCGGGGGCGCCTCCGGACGGCCACGCGCTGGGGGCCAGGCCACACCCCACGCCCCTCTGTTTCCCAAACGCGTCCTGGTGGCAGGAGAGGCCCCCCGAAGGCCTTCAGGCTCGGGCAGGCGTGTCTGAGTCCAGCAGAGACGTGTCCTTCTCCCCGAGACGCTGTTCTCGAGAGGAACACCCGGGGTGACAGCGATGGCCCAGGGCCTTCCTGCCGTCCCCGGGAGAGAGGCACCGGCTGGCTGACCGAGGCCGGCACGGCCAGGAAAGGAGACCCTCAGCGCCCCTCGCTCTCAGCTGGGGGCTCCCCCAGGTTCCTGAGCCGCCCCGAGGTGGGGCAGAGCTCAGGTGCCCGCCCCTCTCAGACACTCTGATGTTCACAGACTGTCAGGCTCTGTGCCCATAACCGGCCAGGCCCCTGGAGCGGGTCCCACCAGCCAGCGTCTCCCCCCAGAGCCTGGCCACCTGCGTGGGGTCCTGGGGCGAGGCGGGGCGGGGCCGGGGATTCTGGGGGCGTGGCCATCGGAGGGGCAGTCATACCTCATTTGCACTCTGCCCTCCTCGGCGCCCTTCCTGATTATTTATTGGTTCGTCGTTGCATCCAGCCGGCCTCCTGTGCACTTTCGGCTCTCGCTGGCCTGGGTTCCAGCTCCCTTTCTCCTGCTCCATGGGCAGCTGTGTGGTGGGCAGCTTCCAGCAAGCTCAGGGGGGAATTCGGGGTGCCAGGGGTTTGGGGCTCGCTGGTGGGCACATCCTGGGGTATCAGGTCGGTCAGTGGGTGTGATGACCTGTGCTGCCTCCTCTCCCAGCCCGGCTTCCTTGCGAATGTGGGTTCAGCCTCCGGCTGGGCCCCTCCCAGCCCAAGGGCACCCCCTCGGGGCCGGGGGAGACGCGGGGTCCAGGCCTAGGAGAACCGGAACCCTCGGCTCCATCACTGACGTGCCATCAGGAAAGCCGTTTTTCCCGTAGACAGCATTTCCCCAAAGGCCCGCTGCTCCCGATGGAGATGGCGGGGGACGCCAGGGGCCTGCTCTCCTGGCCTCGGTTTCTCCCTCTGCACACGGAGAGGGGGGGATTGTGGGCGCTCAGGGGCCAAGGGTGGTGTCGAGCACCTTGTAAGAAAGAGTCCATGGAAGCCATAGTTTCTGTTGAGTCTACATTCGAGCTCTTTCCTGGGGAGGTTCCGTCTCGGGCCTTACAGCCTCCGAGATGTGGGATCTAAGCAGCCGTGAGAGACCCACACACCGGTTCCAGCTTTAACATCCGCCCGAACGTCACACTCTCCCAGTGGTGCAGGCTCAGAATCTTTGAGGCCGAACCCTCCTGGGCTGGAGGGCACGGCCACCCTCGATGGGAGCCAGGAAGACCTCAGCCAGCGTCTGGCGGCCCATCAGTCCCAGGGACAGGCCTCCAGGAAGATGGTCACTGGACGGAGCAGTGGACGGCGCCCCCGCTCTCGCCTCCTGCGAGCTGAGAACGTCTGGGCGTCACAGAACAGTTACCTGCTGAGGCTGGGATTGAACCCCCCGATGGGCCTAGGCCCGCGGGACCCCCACAGTGGGTGAGTGGCTGAGAACCAGACCCGTGTTTCTCACGTGGCATATGGGGGTGCTGTGGGCAGGAAGACGAGGATCAGCCACCAGGGGCAGTGCTGGGGTGTCCACCACACACACGGCTGGCCCGCCTGCAGGCAGAGAGAAGCTCGGAGAGGAGGCGGCCCAGGCAGGGAAGAGGGCCCCTGCCCACAGCAAACCACGGAGCCTGAAGCTGAGGAGGCCGCAGCAGGCGAGGGCAGAGAGAGCTCAGGGATACCCCAGCCTCAGGTCCCCCAGGCCCCGGCACAGGAGCCGCCTGCAGCCACACTGACACCTGCAGACACACAGCCCCAGGCCCCGCGCTCCCCATCTAACCTGGCCGGTCAGGAACCCGCCGCGGGCACGCCGGATGGATGCCCTGCACGCCAAAGCCAAAGTTACCCGGCACTGTCTTTCCCCCCTTGTTTTGGCAATCTCCTTGGGTTGGTTTGTTGGTGTTTTTAAATTTTGCGTTTTCTCCCCCCCTGCCCCCAACACCCAGCCTGGTTCCCCGCATTTCACAGCCCAGCGCTGGCCTGGGTGCGATTTGCGTGGAGTGAGTGAGCCTGGGCTGTGTCTTATTTATTGTCGGACATTCGCAGTGACCGGAATCGAAGTGAATTAAAGAAGAGCTATTTTATCGTTCGTGGTGTGTGGTTTCTCTGGGAGGGCCAGCCCTCACCCTGCCTGCCCTTCCCGTTTCCTCTCGGGGGGCATTTCCGTCTGGGAGGGAGAGGGACCGGGGAATCCCCCAGCCTCTCTGAACCTCCGCGGTCTCATCTGGGGAATGGGGCCCCAGCACCAGCTGTCTGAAGAGGAGGGGGGGGTGGACAAGAAGAAAAGCACGTCCCAGGCGGGAGCTGGTTGCTGGGGGATGGCTCGGAGTCCTGTGGATGTCTGGACAGAGGACGCTCACAGAAGCCGCTCAGAGCTGGGAAGCTGTGGGCACAGGTGTCTGAATGAGTGGCCTTCAGGATGGGGTTGTTCCAGGTGACGAAGAGAAGGTGGAGGGAGGGATGAGGCAGGGCAGGTGCTGTGTGTGAGCACCACGTGTCACTGATAAGGGAACAGGATAAGGGCGCACGTTGGTTGCAAGCACCCTGGCTCAGTGAGAGGGAGAGGGAGGTCGGCTGCACGGTGCTGGGACCTGGAGAAAAGCCGGAGTGCTACAGCCGATAGCGTGGGCAGCCGGGACCATGGCGGGGAGGAGCGTGAAGGTGGGAACCTCGGGGCGCCCAGAGAGACGCGGTCCTCGCCCAGACATCGCCACTGGGGACTGGACAGGAGCGCTGTGGGTGTACCTGCCCCAGGTGCCTCTCAGCCAGGGGAGGGGAGGGGGAGACCTCCTGTTT